TAAAACATCAGGCCCAATTAACAAACAATAGACGATAGGTCTAACCTCCCGTCGAGTATCTCGTCTGCTAGAGTTCGTCCGTTCGCCTACCCGCCCACCTAGTGAATAAAATTGTGGAGCGGACCCAAACAACGAACTGTCTTGAGGTTCGCAGTTCACTCTCATGGCCGTTCGTTCCCGCTCGCTCAGACTGAGTCCACGAGTAACGAACCCGTCCGTCCGCTCGCCCCAACTCTGCCGACCCGGTACGATTACTCCAGCTAGAGAGTCGGGCTTCTTTTAATTTCACTGCCTAGGACAGTACACTTTTTAAGTGAGCATAAGGCGAGCGGCCTTTTCTATCATCACAGAATATAGTCGCTTACACTTGGGACACTAAGACTAAGAAGACTTTAACAAGTAGAATCTAATCTAAGCCGGGGAGGACTTCCGTAACGAGCGACCACTATGAGACAAAGCAGAATTGAGGGCTTGGGGTAAGGGTAGGGTTAGGGGGAGGGGTAGGTCTAGGCCTCTTCTTTATTGTGTTTGATGGGGTGGTCACTCGTTACGGAAGTCCTTCCCTAAGTCGTAAGTAGTGGTGGGCCAAGAATCGATTCCTGCTTCTGAGAAAAAGAACCGATCCCTTTTTCGTAAACTAACGATTCTCAATTACTCTATTTTTTCTTCAAAGAATGTATTTTTTTAAGAAAAAAAATATTGGTGCTTTGCTATGTTCTGAAATCGAGGTTATCCTGAATCTTGAACACTTAAGAAAGAGTAGTCGGGATGCAAAGTCATTGTCAAAGATTATATCGTTCTGGTATACAGTGTCAAAACTTATTCGTTGCTTTCGCCTTTTTCTTATTCATCTGTTGTTGTTTTTAAATTATAATAATATTCCCTTTTCTTTCAATTAAAAATCAGGGGGCTCTCGTGGCCTATAGGTTAAGGTGTTGGCCTCTCATTCAAAGGTCCCGGGTTCGAATCCGGGTAGCGACCAAACAATTTTCTTCTCTAAAATTGTCTCCTTTCACCTCCTTTCCTGCTCTCTAGCAATATTCTGTTGTCTGCTTTCATTTCCACTTTCTGCCCCCACCCCCTCACCTCCTTTGCCCCCTCCTCTGGGCTCCTGATTCTTTCTGCAGCCTTTCTACTGCTACTCCTTGGCTCCTCCTTACTGCTGTCTTTCTGCCACACCCTTGATCTTCTGGTGGGAAAAATCTACACCTAGCCTTCTCGGACAAGGGCGAAAAATCTCGGAGGGCCCGTGTGCAAGTTGCGCACGTTAAAGATCCCTTGGTGGTCTAAAATCGATAAGAGTAGGCTTCGGCCGCCACCCGGGCAAAATTCAAAATTTCCCACCAACTGAAAATATTAGGTGTGTCCCGCGCGCTCATATGACCTATGCAGTTGCGAGCGCCGTAAAACACTTTACAAAAACAAAAAACAATTAAAAATCTAAAACTAACGTCTGCCCACGAGGCCCTATATTATAGACTTTCATTTCTCGGTGTAGGTCAGTGTTGGTCTCTGACTTCATACTGCAGAGACTGGGTTGGGTAGTGCCTGGGGTAGCGCCCTCCCACCCCAAGTAATCAAAGGGATCGGACTAACCGTTACTCGCCGGATGTAATTGCTGGGTTCGGAGTAATTGCTACTCGCCGGAAGTAGTCATAGGTATCGGGACTCGTCGGAAATAATTGCTGGGTTCGGAGTAATTGCTACTCGTCGGAAGTAGTCATAGGTATCGGGGCTCGATTCGAACAGTGAAATAGCCATAGCATCTTTGAAGACGATCAAATTAGCTTACTTTTGTGCTATAACGTAAGGAAGTGGCTATTCTCATCCGGGGTGAGAATAGAAAAACGATCTACCTCTCACCCCGGGTGAGACTTGCCAGCGTAGGCTATTCTCACCCGGTGCGAAACAAGACCTGCTTTTCCTCATTTTGGAATACTGTCTATCGGTGTGGATGATCAAATTGATAAAAGCCAAGAAAAAATTACGTTATGGCTATCGGGCCACCTCTATTCTCACCCGGGATGAGAATAGTGCAGGCTAGTCTTTTGGCTATTCTCACCCGGTGCGCGTTCACTGTTATAGCCTAGATCTAGGCCAAAAAAAGTAATTTTGGGTTCGGCGCTGATTCCTAGCCTTTAATATTCGGGAATCTACGGTTACCGAAAAAAAACAGGAATCGCCCACCTCTAGTCGTAAGGCACTACCGTAAGGTAGGGTTGATTATTTGGGAGGACTTCCTATAAAGGCTGGATTGAACTTTGGTGGACCCACCGTGTTTATATTATTAATACGCACTAGGCAAAAACAACGGACTGTACAGTCATGGGTCCTAATCGACCGCTACGTGAACTAGTTCCTGGCGACGCGAGGTGGAAAGGGAGTGAGGGCTGCGAGACTGCCGAGGAACCAACGCGAGGCGGAGTGAGTGAGGGCTGCGAGACTTCCTCAAGGAACCGTGAGCGCGTAATTGCCCATTGTTGCGTAATGTCTTGGAGGCTGGCTTACGTTTGGTGGACCGCACCTCCAGCACTTTGATTACGTCGACAGCAGGGGGGGGGGGGTTCAGGGGGGCCTGCCCCCCTGGTCACAATGATAATTAAGAAAACACTTGGGGAGGATGGCTTACGTTTGGTGGACCGCACCTTCAGCACTTTGGTTACGAAAACTTATAGTATTCGACAGCGGAGGGTGGATGGGAGGTGGGGGGGTTTCAGGGGGGCCTGCCCCCCTGGCCACAGTGATAATTGAGAAAACACACATAATGCAAATCAATAATAAACAATAAATCAATAATAAACAGAGAAAAGAAAAGGGGACCAGGAACATTTTAAATAGTTGGTTCTGCCCAAGAACTTTAGTGGACCCACATTGCCAGCCAAGGCCCAAGGCTATGCATTAGATACCATGATGCGCGGGTGAAGTTTACCGGACCAGTGAAGAGAGGGGGAGACATGGTGGAGGTGGTGCCATGCCGTGACTAGATTGACCAATCAACGCTTGGGTCTAGCCACTCGTGCCAACTCACGGGCTTTGCGGTGGAAAAATCCGGTAGAAACTTTCAGAACTTTGACTAAATGAGCCTGAAGTGAGAGGATGCAGGCAAGAGAGGGAGAGGAGAGAGAGCGCGCCGTGGTGGCCTACGGCCGGCGGCCGCAAGGCCGCGCTGCGGCCAAGGAAGAACAGTGGACCAGCGCATGGCATCACACGACGCCCAAAAGTAGTTCCGGCCCCCCTCAATGGTGGGTCCACCAAAGTTCAATCTTACCCCTATACTATAAATTACTCAACTGACTTAACAAACATCCGAACTGTAAAATTGCTTACTAATAATGGACACTTTACCTTCTTCTTCTTTGTTCCCCCCATGTTTCCTGGTCGTCCAAAAGACTAGATTGTCAGGGAAGTCAAAGAGAGTGGATGTTGAAATATTTCCAGCAAGTTGGGATGTCTCACTTATAGTACTTCAAGTTGTCTTGTTGTGGTGGACGCATGCATTGAGCCTCGCCTGGGAATAGGAAAGCTTGTTGAATTTTATACTGCTTGACTTAAAGTTACACGTGCTTCCGTATAATATTTTGATACGTCTAAAAAGTTTAAAGGATTTATTGACACGAATGTATTATAATACTAAGATAGTGGAATATTAAAGGATTTGGATTTTAGAAGCATGTTATGTTTGAAACAAAAATAGTTGTGTGTCTTAATACTAAAAAAAGCGGTGAACACAATGAAATCAGTTATTTTGAACAACATTGAGTCGCTTGAATGAAAGAATGAGCATAGAATCAATGAGAGAAGAAGACTTAGAAGAATTGAGTGATTCAGGGGAGGTCACTCACTCTGTGTGCTCAATAGGTGAGCGCGGCAGTCACCACAGCGGTAAATTGTGTGTTGTTGTGTGTAGTTACAGTTACAGTAACGAACTGTGTGTAGTGTAGATCTAGATTCTCTAGATCTAATATAGAATTAGATTAGTTACTGAGTGTAGCCCCACTAAAAAAATGTAGGCCCAACCCGAACTTAGAACTTGCTCGCCTTCTTCAAGTTCAAGTCTAAGAAGTTGATTCAACTGTTGAAGTTCATCATCCCCTGCTGGGTACCATCCCCTGTGCCCTGTACTGTATCTAGAATCTAAATCTAGAATATATCTAGATTCTAGATCTGGATCTAGATCTAGATCTAGATCTAGATCTATAATCTAGATCTAGAATAGATATCTAGATCTACTGTGAAATTGGAAGTTCTGTTGACTATTTCTCCGAACGTTCGGGAAAATAAAGCTGGGCACTATTTCTCCGAACACTCTGAAATCACATCCTTTCTCGCAAATTTCGGATAT